CTGGAAAAAAGTGACCAAACAAGACTTCCTTACTCTAGAATCACATTATCAAAGATGTATTGAAATGTCTTTTTAAAGTTTGTTTTTTTTAAATTGATCTGGGGGTGGCGGGGGGAGAAATCCAATTTCAAGGGTGTGTCTCTGTTTGGAAACACTGCTTTGCAAGGTTAAATTTCTGATTTAAATGTGTTGACCTCCACCTCAGTCTTTTCTTTGCTGGACTTTTATCAATGAATTCCAATTTGTTTATTGAAATTTGGAAATGGGAGATAACTGGAAATGTTGCATTTATGAAGAATTGATTAAAAGTTAATTATCCATAGAATAATTAGCTTTGAAATGACTAATTAACTAGTCTTGGACAGATTGGGGTAGTACTTTATCAAAACATTTGTCAGCAATTTCGGGGAAAGAGGAGTGCAATAAGAAATGATTCAGCTTATCTCTCATCAAAAATGAATCACATTGCTAACTTAAGGTTTTCAAAAAATGTAAGACATAGTGTGTCCATTACCTTTGCTTAGCTAAATCTCTCTGTACAATGATAGACATAACGCAAGCTTCTACATGTCCATATTCATATAATAATCATAGTTTGAACTAAGAAAGTCACTTCATTACATCTGTTGTATTTGTCTTTCAGCTAAGGACAACATTGGGCCTCTAGCTGAATCAAGTGAACCTCCAGACTCCATGCTGTGTGACTACCACAACGTTTCATGGCACGCTAGTAATGTGGCCATTAGCATTCTACAGCAGGGTTACAACTCAGCCTCAGGTGTGCCTACCTTGTGATGCCTCTACGTCCAACCTTACGTGCCCAGATTCATTTTCAGTCTTGTATTTTTTTATTTCCTATATTTTTTTGTTTGTTTTGTTTTGTGGTCGCTACAATTACTCTCCACCTAAGCATCCTCTTGATCATGTAGTTCCAATGCACACAATTACTGGGAGCATGATTCTCTCCAAGGATCATATGGCCACCCCTCTCTTTATGTTTCAGCTCAGTATTCTTTAGAGGACAGTGATACAAAATACTCATATTTAAGAATTCTGCTAGTTTCAAAGAACTGCAACTGTCATCTTCCATAAAATTAAAATTTTACACATGTAGAGTTATTCTGTTTCTATACACCTTACTTTAAATAACATTGTATGTTTTTCTGGATCCAGATTTAAATATTTCACAGTGTAATAGCATGACTACTTAGTTGACATGATATTACTGTTTTAATATCATAAGTACGTGTACATGTTAATCAAAACAAAGCTGTAGAAGTTAAGTGGTTTGTAACATACCTGGTCATGTGGTATGTGCTCTGGACTGTCATTTCAATGGTTCCAGATTCATATCTGTCCTGCCATCAACCCCTATCATCCTTAGGAGGTTCGGGCAATACTGAAGGAACATCCAAAACATGTAAAACAAACAACATAGATACCTTCGATATACACATTACAAACTGCATGTTACTAAAAGCTTTTTTTTTAAAAAGGGGCTAAAACTTTTAGTTTCTTAGTACTGTATGAAGGGTACATATGTTATTGTATGATTGAAAAATGTGACACATGCTAAACAGATGAGGCCAGTTAAAATATTTATCATTATGCCATAGAAAGATAAAACTTGTACGCATAATGCTTTGATCATCTGCCATTTTATTCCTTCATATCAATTCAAATCCGTTTTATTTTGTAGTTTTTTTGCTGCTGATGTACCCAATGCTAAGGTTACTGAAGCTTTTATGTACATTGTAATATTTAATATTTGTAATAATATAAAAGTATTGTGGGTTTTTGTCCACTATGTTTAAATATCTATGAATTTTGAAAACTTAAGAATTAGTCACCCTTATGTACTGGCAGAGATTTTATAAATCTTATCCTATGAAATATCAATCTTATATTACAATATCAACACATTTTTTAAAATAGTGTATTGAAAATTTTTTTTTTTAATTTTCTAAATGTTTAGTATCTCCAAACTGTTGACAACTTAAAGTTATAATATCAGCCCAACATTTGTATTTTCATTTGGCCATGACCCAGAACAAAGAGCTTAAACATGGTAGAGTTAAGAGCTGTAGATTCATTGATTACATTTTTATATTGTTTTATTCTGTTAGTTGGTCTTGAAGTTTATGAACATTAACAGTTGCATAATAAAACAATCAAAAATGTAACAGTAAAATGAAATATGCATGTTTAAAACTTTTTAATATGAAATATTACTTTACCATCTGCCTAAAAATATTTACCTAGAGTAAGAAACAGTCTCCAATTAATGTCTAACATAAAAAGGGTCACAGCATCTTCTGGCATATTAGATTTTTTGCAATTTTTTTTTTTTTCATTTTCACATTATCTCCAATTGTAGCTGTTGTGTAGTTTTAACTTTCTTAACTGTCCATTGTAGACTGTTCATATTGTTTCAAAAGACACACTACAGCAGTGATGCTCGAAATACCAAAATACCGCGACGTGTTTCCATCCGGCCTGTCTAAACATCTGCATAAAATGTAGAAAATCCCCCCCCCCCCCCCCCTTTCCTTTAGGGTCCTCACTTTTTTCTAATGGATTACTACCAAGGCATTTAACATTTATGCGTTCATGAAATAGGACTATAGAATCTACTAGGAAAAGTGAGCGGATCTTTACTTTTTGTAGAACTTGATACCATTCCTAGCCAGCATGTTTGTGTTTATAAAGAAAGTCTGAGGCTGTTTTTAAAACACAAGAACAATAAAATATAAACAGAACTTACGTTTTTTTTTTAAGTGTAAAGAGAAAATTCAAATATCCCAATAATTCAATGTAAGTACTAGATCCTCGGGTTTGAAATAAAATAGTTTCAGGCCAATATCATTAAGTTTTGTATCTTTTCCATCATGTGGCCCGCGACACTAGTTTTGGAAATTAGAATGGCCCGCAGATTGAATTAGGTTGGGCATCACTGCACTACAGCATACTAGTTTTTGTTTTTCTATTTGGTTTTGCTTTCAATGATAGCAAGAAGACTTTGAGAGAACTTATTGTTGAACGTTTTAAAAAACCCAATTAGTTTTCCCACCATCTTGTTGTAACACACATCCAAAATGTACATAATATTCTACAAACATATAGCAACATACGAAATGTTTTTAAAATGACTGAAATCGCAATGACTATAGAGGACTTTATTCAGTTCAGTGAGTTATCTTACTATTGAGAATGGGTTTAGTTTTTTTTGTGTGTGTTCTTTGTTCATTTTGGTTTAGTTTTAAAACTTGTAGTGCTGATAAATACAATTTTTTACAATGTCAATAACAGTACAGGGATACCCAAACCTACGGCCCTTGGGCCATATCCAGCCCATGACCTGCAGCTCCATTGACACTTTTGCTGACAATAAAGCTGCAGAGTTTCAGTTCCTTTGTGATTTTTTTTCTGATGATGTGGCCCTCGGCAAGTGTGCCTGAAAGGAATACAGTCTTCCCCCCCCCCCCCCCCCCCCCCCCCCCAGGCTGAAGGAGGTTTGGCATTGCTAACTCATAAGCTATTGTTTCACAAACGATAATTAACAACTGCTGAATCAGCTTGTCTGTTTGTGTGTGTGTTCAAGTTAAAATTTGTAAAAAAAATATTTTTTTGTTATAGTTCAAAAAGAATGTTGAACGTTCATAGATCTTTACAACTTTTTGGATTTTTTTAATGTGTTGCCAACTCTTTTTTGTTTCTACTCTACACGCTTATATTTTTTTTGAAAATGTGTTAAAATATTGGCTGCAGTTTGTTAGTTTGTTAAGAAGAGAGAGAGAAGGTCAGATGAAGCCAGAGTTTAACTTTCTTTTTGTTGTTGTTATTACCTAGAAAGCAGTCGCCTAAGTTGTTGTTTTTTTCTTATGTAAGGAAAAATTGAACTTAACTTGCAGTCCAAAACAAATATGTTTGAAAAATATTGGTTTGCGATGTAGAAAATCTGACATAGAATAAATAAATTAAATATAAATTGAAAATACATTATTGGAAAACTCAACCATAAAATATTACTTAGACATTGTCATGTTTGATCATCTGTTATTGTCTGGCCGCATTCTCATTGCAGGAGTGTTGTCACTAGTTCATGTTGTGTTCCTTACAATTGATATATATATATATATTACGTAAAATATACATACATTTCAATTATTCTCTTTTCAATTCTATATGTATGGACATCAATACCTTGAGTGAAAATGTTTCTTGACGTTAACATTTCCAAGGAATGTTCTTTTCTGCCAGATTCAAAGGGAAATAACTATTAGGAATAATTCAGTACTCCAAGTTTAAAATGTTAGCCAGTTTAAGTGCCAATTGTGATATCACTTGTTATTGTTTTCTGTGACACTGAAAGGACATAATGCATGTATAGTCTGCTAGATGTTCTCAAGTCTGTTGGTTTTTTGTAAATAATGTCCTGGAGATAGAGATTACCATTAGGCACTTTTTTGTTGCAGCTCTGCTAGACTAAACGTATTGTGAAGGCAATGCACTAATTACCATCTATGTCTGTGGAAAATTACTGCAATATATTTGAAAGTTCTGATTGTGCTCTTGGGGCAGTTACTTGTACAAATGTAAACACATTCCTTAAATTTATTTACTTACAGGATTCATTAACTTGTCAAATAGAACTGTGTTATTGGTGGCAACATTTTTTTTACACAATAATTCTTGTCTTTTGTTTTTTTTCTTTAATCAGTTTATTAACCATCTTGTGTTGTGTCTTTTTTTTTTTTTTTTTTTTTGTCTGTGTTGTGTAAAAGTAATGTTTTGTAGTTTTGATTCTCTTGGGCTAAAATGAAAATATTGTTCCGCCTTGAAATCACATCAAAAAGTGTTTTTAAATCACATTTAGCAATGTATTAGTGTAAAGATTATTTGCTTCAAAAATGTTTCGGTGTCTTCTATTGAACTGCAAAACTGAAGTGTTAGTAAATGAATAACTTCCAGACTGAACTCTGCTTACAAAGTTGGTTAGACTTTTTTTTTTTTTTTTTTTTCAGAGAACTTGTCAATCTTTGATACCATTATATCAATTGCAAATAAATTACTGTGTTCTTGTTAAATAATTACATAGCGAAATTCAGTTGGGTTATATGTCAATTTATGGCTACTTACCTCAACTTTAAAGAAACCTTTTTTTTTTTAAAGGCTTGTCATTCTACCAGTGAAACTTTTTATGTAATTTAAAAAAACAAAACATGACATTTTATGAAATTTAATCTGGTCATATATTCAAATACAATAGAGTTTTATGGAAACATATTTTTTTCTTTCAATTAGATCAAATACCTTGGGATGAATATTAAAGATTAAATTTAGTTTACTTTAGTCATTCCCAAAATGAATCATTTTATCTAAAGTAAGGGAGATAATACAAAAGTCTGTTTCATTACTATATTTTGTAATACAAATATGTTAAACAGAGAGGTCACCGAAGAGTTCTACCAATAGTTTTGAAAGTTTCTTTTAACATATTTAGCTCACATCTGCTTAATTCTGCATACTTTGTACGTTACTGATTTGATTTTTATCAAGTTACATTTGTACCTGTGTTAGCATTTGTATTACCAGTGATAGCATTTGTATTACCAGTGTTAGCATTTTTATATATGTACAAGATTTTTGGAAAGAAATTAATGTTTTTTCTAACAGCATTTTTTTTTTTTTAAAATATTCCAGGAAAATATAGGGATTAGTAATAGTAGACATAGACACAAGGCTATTATAATTGAAGTAATAAATGATACAGAAGTGTCCTAGATGACAGGAGACAATACGGTGAATATGTGGGCAAATAAATCAACCTAAGTACAGATAATTTATCAGATTTGATAATCTCAAAGAAGCTATTATAGTAAGAGACTTAAACACCAGAGAATCCATTTCTGGATGTGGGCACTGAGGGAGGGGTAGTCTCTGAGCTAATTACTTGAATTTCAAGTGTTTTGTTCCTTTGGTTTCATCTACCATTTTTTGGCCCATATGACCTGCACACGCATATACCACGCACAAATTACAAATTATGTAAAAAACAAAATTGAACACCCCCCACCCTTTTATAACCCACATGTGCAAAGCTTGACTTGCGTAAACTTGTCACAGTTAATTACTGGTAAATCAAAGATTCTCTGCCGCATCGGTACTATTTGTTTTCTTGAGGCTTAGAATGAGATGTTCATAAAACTTTCCAATGCACATTTCAAAGCTACACAGCGAACTATAGGAGGTATAAAGGCCACCGGCATGTCCATATATTTGTTACACCATGTTAATGGGGAAAAAGAAATTTTGTATACCAAGCACAGCTGCCATTGGTTTGTTAAAACCTGAATAACCTGTGGGTTATATATGCTAAAATACAGTATTTCTGTGCAGCTTTTGGGCTGTATGATTAAGGGAGAGAAATTGACTGTTGTAAAAGCCACAGTGTAATTTCATAAACATTTCTTAATTCTATGTCTACTGGCCTTTTTCCTTTGAATAGAGTACTGCTTTCAATTATTTGACATAATAAATTTGCATAATGAAAGAAATTTGAAATCTATGTTTGGTTTCAATCTATTTGTTTAGTTTCTTTGGGGATTTTCACTAGGTGAAAATAAAACAAATTGATGTTTTTAATAAGATGAGAAATTGTTGTAGACATCATAATATTTTTTTTTTTGGCAAGTCTTAGTAATTGTGTTATGTACTTTTCAAGGAAGCAATGATTGTTGATTGAACAAAGCAATTATTTTTTTGTTTGCAATAGCTGATAAAATGAGGCTAGAAAACTAACTTTAAACCTTCTCTTGAGTAAACTATTAGTGCAAGTTTTATGAGAAAATTCCCCACACACCCTTTTGTTTCCCTCTGCCACCATTCTGTAACTCATAAACTAGGTAATTATTGTTCTCTCCATTTAAGTGGTAGATGTTACATTTCAGCTATATGGTGGCCCCGTCATCTTATTTGCTTTGAGTGTTGGCTGCGGGTTATAACTATGTCTCACCTTCCCATCCATTCATTTCATTTTTGTAATGTATATACAGGTTAGTGCAGAATGGTAGAACTCTTCTGTGCTGTTTGGTTAGTGTGTGCATTTGGTTTGGTGTGGATTGTTTAATTTCCATTATTGTTTCCAGTTTATATAGAATGTAGGATTCCTACACTTGTTTATAAATGATATATACAAATGTATATATATATTCTATACTATTATATATTTATATGTAGCTATATATAGTGTGTTTCTGGTTTGTTTGAAATATTTGCCTTATTAAGACAGGAACTCAAACAAAGTGTAGAGTGGACTGACAGTGTACATGCTGCTCTAAAGTTGTAGTTTGTCCAGGTTCTTTTTGCAATTTATTAAAAGACACAAAGACGAGGGTTACTGTTCCTTGTTTTGGTTTTCGAAGAAACATTTTGGTTTTTGTTTGTTTTTGTTTGGGTTCATTTTAAACTTTTTTTTTTTCTAGTTTTCTTTCTCATTCATCAACAATGAGTTTAGGACTTAAATCTGATCCATTAAAACTAGAATACACTTTATTTTGTTTTCACCTGCCTGGCTGTATGTGCTGTGGTATGTCACTTCAGTGTTCACCGGCTCAAATGTTGCCATCCCCTTCCCGGTCTTCCTGCGGAAAGTTTAGTTAGGGTGTAATAATCTTCCATTCTGTAGGGCAGTGTGCGGGAGGTTTAGTTAGGGTGTAATAATCTTCCATTCTGTAGGGCAGTGTGCGGGAGGTTTAGTTAGGGTGTAATAATCTTCCATTCTGTAGGGCAGTGTGCGGGAGGTTTAGTTAGGGTGTAATAATCTTCCATTCTGTAGGGTAGTGTGCGGGAGGTTTAGTTAGGGTGTAATAATCTTCCATTCTGTAGGGCAGTGTGCGGGAGGTTTAGTTAGGGTGTAATAATCTTCCATTCTGTAGGGCAGTGTGCGGGAGGTTTAGTTAGGGTGTAATAATCTTCCATTCTGTAGGGCAGTGTGCGGGAGGTTTAGTTAGGGTGTAATAATCTTCCATTCTGTAGGGCAGTGTGCGGGAGGTTTAGTTAGGGTGTAATAATCTTCCATTCTGTAGGGTAGTGTGCGGGAGGTTTAGTTAGGGTGTAATAATCTTCCATTCTGTAGGGCAGTGTGCGGGAGGTTTAGTTAGGGTGTAATAATCTTCCATTCTGTAGGGCAGTGTGCGGGAGGTTTAGTTAGGGTGTAATAATCTTCCATTCTGTAGGGCAGTGTGCGGGAGGTTTAGTTAGGGTGTAATAATCTTCCATTCTGTAGGACAGTGTTTCCCAAACGTTTTCTTTAAAACAGAAGACTTCCCATTTTCGTAGAATTTAGCGGAACTTTCTTGCTTGTATTTTAGGATGAATTAATTCCCCTTCGCTTAAATTCATCAATAATCAGACTGAGATTGTTTTCTAAATTTAGATTTTTTTCAAAGTAGAAAACTATAATACAATATACAGACATAAACATAAGAAAAATGAAGGCTTAATGACTTTGATGGTTTTGTATCTTTAAGAGCTTAACTTCTTTTTGTTTTTTGATACGCTCTTCTTCTACTATCTGCTAGGACTTCAAGCCGCCTGTTTCTAGATGATGACTTTGACTTTGTTGACTTAAAATAAACAGAAATCCAGCTTCTCACAAATAGGTTGTAGGAGACAGAAGTAAAGTACCATTAGCTTCATTTGAAATACCAAAGCGCTCTTCTTCCCTCAAATGAGTGTCCGAAATTAGTTTTGACTTTAAATATTACACCATTATCTCATGTTGAATGTCAAAATGCAAGGGCCCCAAAAGAGGTCAAGACCCCCCAAATCCATAGCTATGCCACTGCAACGAGGTGTCGGTCTAAACTGCCCGCAGGTTGTGACGTTGCAGGTCAGTGTTCAGGCCTTATGTAACGATTGGTCTCGCTGAACACAGTTTGGGAAACACTGCTGTAGGAATATCCGAAACAAAACACAAAAAAGGAACGAATTACTACTGCTTCATGTTCTTTCAAGGGAGATCACCTGCATTATTAACTTCCTCTTTCCCCTTCCTTACTGGATATTGACAGTGTCCATCATTACACACACAACCCTACCTACAGTTATCCATTTGTTGTATTAGTTCAACGCCTCACTTTCAAAGGAAGTTGATAACCTTCTGGCCAGGGCCAGTAGCGCTTTTGGACGCCTTAAGGGGAAACGCCAAAAGCCTTTTTTTTGCATTCTTCACAGTAGAAACGCATTCTCCTGACATCTATAGCTCATTATTCATCCCATCAAAAAAAAAAGACCTTTTGAAAATGTTTTACTTGAAAAATATTCTAATATGAATGTACACGCCTTTACTACATTGCAAATACAACCAATTTGTTCCTTGAAAAGATAAGATACGCGACATATTTAGATTTTGGCTTTGAGGACCGCCGCCGAAAAAAAAATCGAAATATTATATTTTAATACAAAAGCTCATTTCTAAGTGATACACTTTGTTCAATAGGTATGCTTGTAACTTAGTTTTGTTGCAGAACTCTAATTCAAAGCTCTAAACAAAATATTTCGAAAGTGGGAGAAGAAATTAAGTGGGCCAATTAGATTCTACTCTAAATTTTTTGCAGTTTTAGGATTCCAGTATATGTTGTGAGTTATAGTCTCAAAAATTTTTATATAATAGAAAAATATCAGTATAAGTAAAGGTTGGGAAAAGGTGACTACGAAAATAATATTTGGGTTCAGAACTCATCTCAATTATTACTCTTATAATGAAAAATTTCGTATGAATTCTAAATTTTACAAAACAAAGTCTTAAAATAACTAAGATAGATTAGTGTTCAATTGCATAAACTCTGTCGCCATATTTGACTATTGTTTTAAAACGTCATGTTTTCGTCTGGAAAGAGGTAGAGTGAAAACGAATTAATCCTCGCTCCTTTTTATAATTTCTGCTAATGATTGCATTTGGCACTAAAGAAAAGGGGTAGGGCGACTCGATAAAAGAATTTAATTTATAGCATATATAAAATATGTAAGTGACAATTTTTTTTTAATTTTGTAATTTTTAAACTAAAATACAAAAAGAAAAAAGTGTTGGTTTGTCCGATGGGCGGAAGGCGATTGAATGTATCGCCCCTCCCACCTGGTACAACCTTTTTCATTTTATATTTACTAATGATAAAATTTGAGATCAGAGTCTGTGTGCGGCATAATATACAAATGGGTTAAAACATCAATATATATCTTATATTATATAGATATTCAAATAATTTTGTTCACAAACTATGATTTCTCCATAAAAATAGGACCGCCCCCCCCCCCAACACACTCAGAGGGCTAGAGTGGGGAGGGCAGTAGAAGCTATCTCCCACCCCCAACTCACCGAATCGGCTAAGATACCAGAAGTGTAGCCGATAAAATATAAAAATTATATTGTAATTCAACTAATTTTGTTCACAAACAATGATTTCTAAATAAAAGTAATACCCCCCCCCCCCCAACTCAAAGGGTTTAGGAGGTAAGGGCAGTAGATGTATTCGCCCCCCCCCCCCACCTCAACCCCACATCCCACCCAATCGGCTAACAGGGAAACGACATAATATAAAGATTGGTTAAAATATCAATAACAAGTTTTAATTATATAGATATTTAATTAATTCTGTTAACAAGCTGTGATTTTTACACAAAAAAATTGGACCGCCCCACCCCCTTAAAAGTTTAAGGGGGTGGGTGGGTGATTAATGCCATTGCTACCTCCCCATCCCACAAAATCGACCAACTTTCTAGAGGGGGGCGAAATAATCTAAAAATAGGTTGAAATATAAATAATTAGTATATATTATTAACATGACTATTAAATTCGTATACAAATTGTGTGATTTCTTTACTAAAATTCGTCATCGGAGGGGGGGTCGACCGAGTGGTGGGGGGCGATCGTCCCTTTACTTAATCGTAACTTTGTAGTCAAGAAAAAAATATTGTCAGCCATTGTTGAATTTTTTTTTTTTTTTAAAGTTACTGCTAGCACTCATAAACAGGAAATGGTCTAGAAGTTTGTAATCTGACCACTACACTGTTTTCAAGCCAGAAAGAAAGATGGCCATTCAGATAAATATGCACTTGGCAAACTGTGGTTTTGAATGTGTAGAAAACATGTAAACATCAGCTGGTTCTCGTAGCCCCGTGAAAGCAGTTTTCTTTAATCTTGAGGAGTCGAAGTCGTTTATGATTGTTTCTGAAATTCTTTAAACTTTTAAAAAGGATGTGTTGCTTAAAAAAAATGAAAGTTTGTTTCAAGTAATACAATATTTGAACAAAATCAACGCTGATTCTAACGCCCTCGTACCAGACTCTCTTCTGAAAGTATATATTTTATTAAACTACACGAGTCACAATTTGATATGTAATATATGTAAACATACACATTTGTAAACACACCATGGTGGAGTTGGTGCAAATATTTGAAGTGTTAGCAAGACGAGAAAGTGACTGCCATTCTTGCACAATATGTTCTACAATAACTATGACAATGTATACGCACACATATAAATAAATAAATTGTTATATATTCTCTCTATTCTTCCGCTCTCTCTTTCTCTTTTTCTCTCTCATGTTTAATAAGCATTTTTAAACAGTTAAAATTAAACCACACAATACTTGAGGTTTCAAGACCATTTACATACAGTACCAATAAATTAATACAGATAAATGCACTTATGATAATTATCAAGACACAAAGTAAGTGGAAAAATTGAATATATCGATCACTACGCAAAACAAAATAGTCCTAAGTTTTACAAAGACTTAAACAAAGATGCTGAAGCAAACGATTCAGTTTGGCTCTACATTGGCTAAAGGCTATAATAAATGTGGTACAAAAATTAAAAAAAAGCTCCTTTTGTCATGGCCACATATCCTTGCGAATCTTGGACGCTAACTGAAAAACTAGAGAAAAGGATCCTAGCAATGGAATTAAGATGCTGTAGAAGACTCCTTGGAATCACATACAAATACCGCACCACAAATGAAGAAATACGAAACTCAAAATCTGGCCCCACGATGACATTCTGACAATTGCAAAACAAAAAACTAGGTCTGTACAGCCATATCAGCCATAAAATTCACAGGTCTCGTAAAGACCTTTCTGTGTGTATAAGTGCTAGAGAAATGGAGAGGCAGATTTAAAAAGCCATTGGAAGAAATCTTCAATGAACGGATAGGCCCAAGTATGTCAGTAAAAGAGACTAATCCTGTCAAAAGACAAAAAGTAATGGAGAGAGATTGTCAACAGTGGTACCCCATCGGTCCAAAAGACTATGGGAAGGTCATAATAAATTTAAAAAAAAAATCATGCATATTAATTTGTGACATTTCAGCCTACTTAGGACGTCGTCTGCCAACTCTTACTTTTATTGATTCGCACTCAAACACAAAATCGAAAATTTAATAATTTTGTCATCAA